AAGTCCGTGCACCTTGCCGTAAGACACTTTTGTGGCTGTGGCCGGCCCATGAGGACCCGGTGGCTTTCGTGGGGGTCCCGGGGGGGGGGGTCCCGTTAGCAGGCGCCATCTCTATGCCGGCCCCTCCGCTGCATGGCCAGCCTGAATGCATTATTGATGTCTCCCTGCAGTGAGCCCATTCGCAGGCCATCTGCTGGGCTGTGGTGCCAGACCAGGCGTGCTGGATGGGGGGCATCCATCCAGCCCAACCCCTATCTCCCCACAAACCCTCCATTGTCCCTTTTTTGCCGCTTGCTATTCTCACCCAAGTGGTGGGCAGGTTCAGTCGGGCGGGGAGGGGGGGTGCTCGGTTACCGAGACCACCTCTGTGAGGGTCACTGGAGCTCACCAGAGAGCCACAGTGCCGCTCTTGTGCTGACTGGAGGGGGTTGGGGGGGTGTAAATGCTGTTCACCTAAATGAGGCTTTTATGTGATTAGGGCTCGCCGAACGCTTTCACTCAGGCCAGTCGGTCTCTCAGATCTCTCAGCAGCCAAAGGGGCGTGTGGGTGTGTGTGCGTGTGTGTGTTTGTTTGTGCAGCACACAAGGTAAAAACGTAATTTTGTAGCTGTGTGTATGAAAGAAGCATTCTGTGCAGCTGTCTGATGAAACCAGTTTGTGTATTTTTGCATGACAGACCACAAGGGAAGAAAGCCTTTCTCACATAGTGCACCATGGCTCTGCTGTAAGGCCCTATAAATGGGCTCTCTGATATGTGGAGCCAATGGTAACTTGGCATTTTTAGCACTTGTCTATTTATTTGACCCAGCGACTCTGGCTGAGGCCTAGGGGCCTGTCACCGGGGGTAACCCCGCCTCCCCACGTGATGATGGTGAAGGTGGGGTGGGCGTGGCCTCCATGCCAACGCACCTGTTCAGGTCTCACCGGCGCTAAGGTCGCGAGCAGCGTGTTTGCTCAGGGAGGGGTCCATGAACCTGGCCGCATCGTCTCTGGTGTCACGGCTGTGATTCTCAATCTGACATCACTATAATGTACTTTAGCGAGGCCTGGAAATCCGGGCATCCCATGCGGCTCCGGTGTGCACCGCTGCCTGCGACATCACCCCTGTGCCCGGTCGGGCCCGGTCCACCCCCCCGCTGTCCGCACGTGCAGCACACTGCCCAGCCTCCCGTGGGCTGTCCTCGGCAGCTTTTCCGGAAAGCATCTTGCTCTCCTGCTGTCTTGTGATGAGCAGCAGGCCCAGGCAGGGGGGGGGGGAAGGGGCGGCACTTGCGTTGGTGTGATTTTTTAAAATTTTATTTTATTTTTTTCTCGCTGCCTCAGCCTGGCAGACCCAGGCGAGAGCTGCTGGCTTCCCAAGACAGATTAGAGATGCTCACGGCCGCCGTGGTAAAGTGACGCAGCGGTAGCCATTACGGCCGCAGCGGATTGTGCGGAGCGGGTTCACCGGGCCCCCCGACTGCAGAGTGAGTTCCCCTACAGGTATGGCGTCCTGCTGGGGCAGCTCCTCTGTCCTGGTGTCACGCTGTACCCAGTGTCACAATTATCTGGACTTCGGCAGGAGTCACTCCTATCTGGTTTGATCTGATCTAATTCTTAGAATTCTGTTTGGATTTTGGTTGATGAAGGTTGGATGCCATTTTCTTTCTACCTACCGACTTTGCTCGTTTTCGCTTTTCTTTCTCCTGCCTGATTGCCAGCGGGGGACGACCTTGTTCTCACAATGGTGTTTGTGCAGCATGAGAATGTGCCTATTCGCAGTGGAAGGCCGCACCCTCGGACCCCATCCCGCAACTCCTGCGCCTGTATCTCCGACCTGCTAATCCCACTGTAGCTACAATAGATGTCAAATCTTTGTGTAAAATCCCCCCCCCACCGCAACCGAAATTCCTGAGAGGCACCAGAGCAAAGGGTGCTAGAAAGGACCAGGCTCTGCTGTCAGGTCATGTACTGCCACTGACGTCTTTACAAGCCGTGACAGTTTTGCTCGTTACTTTCATAAGTCCAGGACGCCGAGGCTGAGCTCCGCTTTAGCCTGACCATCGCTGGGGATGATTCCACCGCTTGCCATTACTAGCGTGAAACTTAACTCTCCTGTTGTCTTTACATCTCCCACTTCAAAAAATTCACCCATAGCACTAGTTCAGATTGACAGGATAAGCAGTGCAATTTATGACGGTCTTGTCAAGCGAACTCCACTGTTGTGATGAGGGCTGGTGCAGGGGGCTGATTGTATGTCTTGCAGGGTGGTTCGTATTATTCAAACCAAGTTCTGCTTTTGTGGCAGAGCCAGACAAATGGCACATTAGGGTGTTTGTGTGCGTCATCGCTGGCAGAGCCGCATTGGGTCACGTGTGTTGCAAACAGCTGCAGGTCTTCCTGCAGCTGTTTGCGTCTGCCGGTGCCCCAGAGCACCGTGACGGCCTCAGTGCTGAGTAAATGTTGACTTTCTACACCCTGTCGGCAGCGCTGCTTCAGATGAGAATGACAGAACGCCAAACAAGGGCCACCGTGTCACGTGTCACTTGCCGATTTCTCCCAGCATGCTCTTGCAAGGTTGGATGAACATGGTCCGGTCAGCCGGTGTCTTTCTGCAAGACGTCCAGAGGCACCAACACCAGGGAGAGAGGAATTCGCCCAGAAATCTGAGATTAATGGCCGTCAGCTGCTCGCTTTCTACAAACAGATGCATACAAAGCTAATGCTTCAGATGGGAAACGATATAAAGTGCAGCTGTCAGCAGTAGACTGAAGGGCCCTGATCCTAAATGCCGCCCTGGAGTAGCAGTTGTACGTATCTAGATCTGGCTGTAGACCAGGGGTGGGGAAGCTGATCCATGGAGGGCTACTGTGGCTTTTTGGGCTGGTCTTTCAATCAGTCAGTAATAAAGCAGTGGTTCTCAACTTCAGTCTTGGGAATCCCAAACCCCCCCACCCTGGCCCTCCATGGATCAGATTACTCGCCCCAGCTGCAGACCTTAAGTTCATCATGAGCATTGTAGTGCGTTACTTGTAGCATATTTTATCAAAAGTACCAGTTTGCAGTTTGAATCTGCTGGGATTTGCACCTTTCCTAGTGTAAGTTTCCTCGTAGTAGGTGGTGTGATGTTTAAGGTCACGGACCTGTAACCGGAGCTTGCACCTCAGGTGTGCCCTTGAGAAAATCGTGTGTGTATGTGTTTTCCTCTGAGAAATGTTATTAAATATGATACATCCATTGGTTTTGCATACCCATGTTTAGTACAAATTTATATGGTGATAAAAAAGGAAACGAATTAGATTTCAGTATTATGATTTTGTATTGATATTATTTTAAATTCCATTGCTACTTGTGTTATACGGGGTGATGTTGAGCCTGCAGCCTGTCCCAGGAAGGGCAGGGGACACCTTGGGTTATTATTAGGACCCCAGAAGTCGATGTTGAATCCTGGGAGCCTAATAGACATCAGGGTTTTCAATGACATGTAGGCCAGTTTGTGGTTCAGCAGGTTAGGGATATGTACTCGTGGGGGGTCGTGGGTTCAAATCCCAAGGCTGACAGAGCAATCACATCATTCTTGAGCAAGGCCATTAACCCCAGCAGGGGAGACATTGTGTTCAGAGCCCAATCTTTCCTCACTTGTCCATAACTATGAACAAAAGTGTCTGCTGTTCATTATTATGGTGATTGAGTGTATCCACCTTGTTTCTGGTCATTGTCCTCCTCTCTTGCATTGAAATTTACAAGCGTCATGACTTTCTCATGTCTTTTCAGTATGTTTTCAATAAAATGGCTCTACTCTGGTCATTTGTCTTTGGAGTGAAAGATCAGGCTTAATTTGTTCAAGAATCCACCTGTTTGTTTAGCTTATGTCTTCACTGACGTCCAAAGACGTAATTCCTCCAGTCCTGCTTCTTCACTGTCCAGCTTTCACATCCAAAAAGACACACAGAAAATTCAAAACCATTCTGATCTTCACTCTTAGCAGTATGTCAGTTCTTTGTCTTTTTGTGTTTAAAAAGTCCCGTATTCCGGGTATGTTTTCTTTCTTTTAGGACATACTAGCCTTTAGTAATTTTGACAAATCACAGCATGTCATGTCAGGTGGCTTTGTGTGCTGTGAGTTGTCAGATGGCACTTAACTGCGTCATTTGAGCTTTCTCTGCTCGCGTGTCGAGATTAAAGCTGAGGCTTGTCGACACACAATGGGCCAGGAAATAAATTCAGAAATTATGGACTTCATAAACACAACATGCACCTTGTAAATCAGGAAGTCGCAATAACCTGGGAGACTGAGGCTGCTGCTCACGCACTTCCGGATTGTCTATGCAGTGCAGAGTTTACAGGGTTTTACGGTTTGCAGTGTTAGGGAGCAGCCAGTCTCGCTTAGAATAATTGGTTTTTAACCCTGCGCTGCCCACTACTGCCCAGTGATTAAACAACTATGAAAATGCTGATCTTTGCAGTCCCAGAATGCACTGCTGTTCTTTGTCCATCACTTCATGTTTTGCTGATGTATGGAAATTCAACCCGGCCAGCCTGTGCAAATTGCAAACTTGCCCCTCCCCCTCCCCCCCACCACACTAGTAACATTCCTGAGTGCACCAATCCAACCCCAGTGGCTAAGGTCACCTGACCTCTGCAACGGCCTTCTGGGTAGTGCCTTCTGCTCTGGACTTTTCCTTGAAGTTATGGGAGTATAACTTGAATGCAGTCTCTGGAAATCTAGAAAATCAGCCTAATTAAGTAATTTTTTATTTTTTTTGACAAATTCGGTATTAATCCCATTCTGAATATAGATGAGACTTATGAAAGTGGGAGTATTAAGTTGAGTACGTTTTTTTTTTTTTTTTTTTTTTTTGTTGTTGGTCAATCCCCTGCTAGGGAATCCCAGGGCTCTGTATAATGTGTGAGGTGTAACATACGGTGCCAAAATTCAGATAAGTAACCCCAGAGTCTTCACTGACTCCAACCCCCCCCCCCCCCCCCCCCCCCCCCCCCCCCATATCTCTCTCCTCCAGCTCAGCAGCATAAGCAAGGCCATCAACTCCAGTGAGACGCCGGTGAAGGAGAAGCATGCCCGCAGTATCCTGTTCACCGTGACGAGGCGCCCCGGGTTGGGACACAAGCTGCATGCTCGTTAACCACGCTGATTAAATCCATTTCCACTTGGTTGTTGATGCTGCTGCCTGCTTGAGCTTTTCGCTCTGTCTGGTCAAAATGTAGCCTACAGAAATGGGTAAAACCACAGCAGAAGGACCAGTAACTAGAACTTACTGCTTTATTGTCACTAACTTCACCCACAAGGCCCAGCCTCCACCGCAGATGCTTTAGTATTTGCTGCTCGTTCCAATCAGACCAGACAGACTCACACAGAACCAGGCTACTTTATTTTTATCCATTTTTAATTTTCCCTGTTTGTCTTCCAATTCGGTCATGAGCCGTCACACCTCACCTCCCCTGAAGTGCACTGGGGGGCGTGTCTACATCTTCCCCCCATGCCAGCACAGTGTCAGCTATCAAAGGTCACCTAGAATCACCTAGAGCTGATTTAAGGAGATGACCTTGCTGAGATACAGGGCCGCAGGCAGAGTATGGGGAAGCCAGTTGAGATTGCTATTAATTGAAAAGACCAGCATTGCACTATGGTCTAAACTGGGACTTTGCATAAGCGCTTTGTTGACAACCTATTATTTTGTCTGCATATAGGGTATGTATGCATCACACATTAAAACATACGGTAAGCAGGATGAGGGTATTTCAACCCCCCAAGTACAAACATCAAACTTTGCCTAAGAAAACACTCCTCTTAAATGGAACTGCAGACTTAACTCCTGGTTTATTGTATCAGAAATTCCGTTATTGTGTGATGTCTCTAAAGACAAAATAAAGCAGTGATTATACTGAATTAAATGGCATGGCTATGAATGAGATATACTTGGCAGCCGCCTTAAGCCAGAAGACTTTGACCAATGGAGGTTATAGAGTTACCTATACTGTGGACATGTCCTACCAAGGGCTTGGGCTGCCGTTTTCCCATAAGGCCATGCCCCAGTAGATGGTGGGATCCCAGCCTGTTACCACTGACTTTTGTCCCTCTCTAAAGGCTTGGGTTGGGGGTTCAGTCATCAGTTGGGGCCACCAATTCTGTCCGGCAGCTCCATGCTCCTTGACCACTGCCCCCCCCTTAGGGATCGTCCTGGGGACGCACAGGGAGAAGGGGGCCTTCACCTTCTGGTCCTACGCCCTGGGCCTCCCGCTGGCTAGCAGCTCCATCCTCAGCTGGAAGTTCTGCCACGTTCTACACAAGGTTCTACGAGATGGGCACCACAACGTGAGTCCTCCTCCCTCCCCCCACTTCTAATTACCCAGTGGAAACCCTCATGTGGATGGCACAAGGACTTTATATTATGGCCGAAATTTCATTTAACATTGGACAAAACTTAATGACACAAATGTCACTGCTTGTTCCAGTCAAACCAGACAGACTCCCAGTCGTCTCACATTGACTTGTACTCCCACAGGCCTTTAAAAAACAAACGAGTTTCATTGTAACTTGTTACATTGACAATAAAGGCTTTCTGTTCTATTTTATTCTTCTCACATGAAAGATTTCATGCCATAAAATGAGCTGCAATCCACCTAGTAGCTTCTTGTGTAACATCAAACTACAATCCCTCCCTGCAGCGTTTCATTAGCGTTTTCTCAACCCATAGTGATCATACTTATGACAGTGGATGTTCCACTGCGAACTTGCATGGCCTTGTTTCGCACCAACCGCTATGTCACAAGGGAACATCTGCTTAGTGTAAAAGTGCAAGAAGCAACGTTTCACATACTTGTACTTTTATTGCTATTGTTTTATAGAGCCTGCAGGACTGTATGAGGCATCACAGCAACATCAAGGAGATGGGAACCCTCTGGGTGAGTGTTGGGTGTGGGAATGCTGCTGAGGTCTGCCATTGGGTGTGGGGATGCTGCTGTGGTCTGCCATTGGGTGTGGGGATGCTGCTGTGGTCTGCCATTGGGTGTGGGGATGCTGCTGAGGTCTGCCATTGGGTGTGGGGATGCTGCTGAGGTCTGCCACTGTGGGAGTACATGGATGATTACCTCACCAAAATCAAAAGTCGCACTAAAATCTTTGACTTATAAATTGGGGAAACAGAAATATTTAGTTTGTCGGTTTTTCTGTGCTCATAAATTATATTAATTTCACCCATTAAATTGAGTCTTTATAGGGATGCAGCTTTAAATATTATGTAATTTCCAAAAGTTCTACTTAACATTAGTCTTACAAAATGCAAGCTGTCCCTGCCCAGTGTCCTGTTTTAATGGAGTAGCACAGAAGGACAATGGCAATTGTATAGTCAGTCCTACATCCTGCACGTCACTCCTCACCTTTTGTTCTGTCTTTTCACATTTTCCTTCAAAACTCTTGATTGTTGTGTGTGCCGAATGCTTTTGTTTTGTCCTGTATAAAGTTTGAGGCAAGGAATCTTGGGAGATGGTGTTCTGGTGGTCGTGTGCAGCTGGACATGAATCACTCTACTGGGATTCGGTCAGGGACATAATATAGTTAGCATGTATACAAGGTGAGTCTGTCTGACGTGACTTTTCCATTTCCACATGCAGGGTAACCTCCACGATCGATATGGGCAGCTGGTCGCTCTGTACGCGAAGCTTCTCTGCAACAAGATGGACTTCCATTTGAAGGTAGGGCGTCAGCCTCAGGCTTTGGCCTGATCTGTCACACTAACCACCGTAGTTCCCTAATCCATTATCTGCCATGTGATTTTTTATTTTTTATCTTTTTAATCATACATGGCCATCTATAGCACAGACCACTTCATTTGAAACAGTCCTTTAATGCAGCATTTCTCCACCCGGATATCAGCTAGTATCTAGGTATAGATTGTAGTTCTTGCTGTTCCTGCTGCAGTGCTCACTGTTTTAGGGAATGCAAGATTCACATGTAAATCAACCTACAGCCCATACAGAACGGGCTCAAAGTCAACTTTAACTGGAGAGCCTAATATGCAAGGTTAATTCCCAGGTATATCGCTCCCTGGGGTCAGTAACTGTTTCAAAATGTTGGGCATTGCTGATTATTTTTGGCAGTATGAACACATCATCGTGAACAAAGGGAGGCAATGTGTGTTCAAGGTGTGTAAACTCCCCCCCCCCCCAGCATACAGAAATCCAACCCAACCTGGAGGTCTCCGATGAGGTTCTAGAGCGCACCGCTGGGACCGACATCAACAACGTGTGAGTGTGCCTGCCCCCCTCCCTCAACACAGGTCTCATCCTTGTCTACCTGTGCATTTACATTCATATTAACAAACACATCACACAGATGTACAGTACTGTGCAAAAGTCTTAGCCAGTCGTAGAAAATGATGTTTAAAAGCTCTTCATGATGGTGTAAAGTCACTGCTAAAATCACCCCATTCTTTCCAGCAACCATACAATACACCTATGTATATTTTTGGCTCGACCACTAGCACACTTTGTTTGGCTAATCTACTTCTCGTTGTCTTTAGAAACTGATTAAATTAATTGAGCTTGTGATTTGATTCAAATCCATGGAATGGCTGAGGTGTCCCTGAGGAGAGGTTTGGGAACTGAAGCGGTGTTCATCTAGCCAGCCCACGAGATACCAGTAACTTTCTGAAGAAAAGAAGACATTACTGTTTAGTCTTTATTGTTACTCTTAATATGCATATATGCTTATGTTCTATTCTGGACAAATATATATTTACTACCCAAATAAATAGCTTTAAACAATTCCTTTTAATGCCTAAGACGTTTGCACAGTACTGTATTGGACTGCATGATCCTGAAAAAAATGTGAATGGTGATTCTTTTGCTTAGAGATCACAATTCTCTAATATTTTTCTTAAATTTAAAAGTTTATTGCACTCATTAAACTGCAAAAGGAAACATAACAAAACATGACTGCCAAACATATGACTGATCCAACACCAGCATATCAACTACTGACAACAGAAAGGAAACACTCAGTTGGCCAATCAGTTAAGGTAATCAAAACAGCCGTACCAAAAGGGCCAGTGGGGGACTTTTAAGGGTACTTTGGTACTTCGGGGTGGGACTTTCTTTGTCGATTGGTTATGCAAATAGCCTAATGTCCGTATGGAGAATTGCAAGAAAGAAATAGTCTGATCGTAATCAAGCTAACTGGCGAAGTAAGAATTGCACAGGCAGAACATGTGATGTGGATATTAATATCGCACATCAGCCATCCCTATAATATCCTCCTAAGACCCCACCCATTCATTTATGTCCATTGCAGTGGACATTTTGTTTTTGCATCTATCTTTTCACTGATGTAAAGAAACGTATTTATTTCTGTTGTAGACTAAAGAGGACATACTGTGAAATTAAAAATAAATTTAAAAAGATGTCTTATTTTTTCCAAAGACATAGAAAATCACAATTAACCTTAAACTGAAGGACACATTTTTCCTTGGGTCTAAGGAGGATATACAGTAATTTTTTAAAATTCTGCCTTCCGGTGTGATGTCATTTTTACGGTGGTGGAAAACCAAAAACCAAAAATTAAGGTACCTGGTGTGGTAGAAAAATGCCCTTTTTAAGGAGAAGGCAGAATTATGGGATGCTTGAGACTTTCTGGGGAAAAGTAGGAGCACCTGTTTTGATCCAGCTGATATAATATAATGCAGAAGAACTGTTGTAATTTAGAAATGAGATCACATGCAGGTGTGAATTTATTAAAATTGCTCACTTTTAAAACATTTGTTATATTTTCTGCTCATTTGCACAGCCAGCTAATTTTCCTGGAGTGATTGCTGTTAAGTACCTGGGTCGTGTTCTCCTGGGGATCCTCTGACTGTTAGGTGTCCTGCTCTCTTTGAACCTGCCGCTCAGTCAGAGTTTGGTTTTGTTCGGGGGACAGGGGATGTTTTATTAATGAGGCGGCTGGGCTGCTCTCCACACTGTGAGGGGTTGGGGGGGACGCTGGACTGGACAGAGGGCTTTAGTGTCTGCATTTTGCTGGTCTCATTCTCCTCAGATTCTCTTTCCTTTCTCTAGAGGGGCTCCTCTATGAATTCAACGTGTCAGCTTTTTGTCCCAAACAAAAGAAACGTCAGTGTAGCCAGCGCCATCTCCCAGGGAGTGAAGGGGAATTGTGGGAACTCAGATCCAGCCCTCATTTCTCACGGGGAACATTATCGGTGTGCACAATGTGGCCAGGTATCCCTGGAGCAGGTACCTAAGCGGGTATCCATTTCCTGCTGCAGATTCCAGCTCACCGTGGAGGTGTTTGATTACCTGGACTACGAGCTGAAGCTGGCTGAGACTGGTGAGTCACCCTAAAGGAGAGGAAACCCATTCCACCCATCTGACCAACCCCAAAAGCTGGTCCTGGGCTGGGCCGGTGACAGGGTGGAGCATTTTTTAGACGTGAGATACCAGTTGCTGGGATCTAAATATGGGCACAAACGGATCATCTGTCTGATTCATATTAAAGATATGGCCACCTAGTTTTTAACGTTACTACCAGCAGTCAATATAAGAGAGAGGCTGAACATTGCTCTCAGAATAGGAAGGGAATTGGAATTACCCAGTTTCCCAGAATCCTCCTGGGGTAGAGCACATTTATGCTTCATGCATAGAAACTGTACACACCCCCTGGGAAAGTTTGCTGATCAGAGCAGAGTAATTTGCATAGGTTTCTATCTGACAGGGCCCACTTGTCTGCCATAATTACTTAGTTTTGTCACCCCGCCAGAAATAGACATTGAGTCACTGGTGGTTTAGCACTGACGCAATAAGGGAAGTTAGGTCATAGTGCAGGCGGTGCCCTCATACAGCAGCTGGTGAGAGTTAAAGGCTGACTAGCTGTTAACCTTACGCTCTCTGTTGCTTCTCTACCCACAGTGATGCGGCAGCTGAACACATCCATCGCCATCTCCACCACCACCTCAGGACAGTGTCGCCTGGCCCCCCTCATCCAAGTCATTCAGGACTGCAGTCACCTCTACCACTTCACTGTCAAACTGCTCTTCAAACTGCATGCCTGTGAGTGGTCCAGCTTGAGTCCCCGCCCACTTCCCAGTTGTGTTCCGCCCCCAAGATCTGAAGGCCACACTGGCATATTCTGATCCTTCAGAACTTTTGAGACTTTGTGCATATGATTAATCAGAATGGCACATATATTTTTTTCCAGAATCTTTTAATGTGTTAATGGCCCACCTCTTGATTCCAATTAACGGTTTACTGCCTTCAGAAGTTTATTTGCAACGTTCTTTGTTTTTATATTTATAGTGGCACCTCAGTTCTCAAACTCATTACAACTCGAATTTCTTAAAAGTCGAACCAACCAGTTAAAAAAAAAAATTACCTAGAACTCGATCTGAATCTCAGAAGTCAACCCGTGAACGACGACCTAAGAACTTGTACGCACGGGGAAATGAGTCACGTGGCACGTCTCTCAGCGGAAACAAAGGGTAAAGCGTCAGTCTCAGCCTCGCATTCGCTGTGATAGCATCGTGCATGTTTACACTAG